GGTGCAGCACGATCGCCCAATTTGTCACGCGGGTCCCTGGCACAGGCGGCGCGAGCATCTCGGCGGTGACCCGCTGCAGCTCGCTGGGGCGCAGGTAGCAGTGGAAGGTGATGATCGTCCAAGCCGCCATCGCCCAGAAGCCGGTCAGCAGCAGCTCCAGCGCGATCAGCGCGACGACCTCCCATGGCAGCGGCAGCCGAGCACGCCCAGGGGCGAGCCGCTTCCAGCCCTTCAAGGCCTGCGCCGAGCGCGGAAGGGAGAGCCCTCCCGACTTCGCGAACTGCGGCCGGAAATACTTCACCGCCGCTAGCCCCTTGGTGCCCCTCTGCGCGAGCTCCCCGAAAGAGTACTCCTGGTCCATCCAGCTGGCGACCACTAAGTCCATCTCGTCGTCGTTCGGCTCCGCCTGCAGGGAGCCCGCCGGTCGCAGCCGAAGCCACATGCGGAGGATGTCCTGCCACAGGCCGTCGTACTGGGCCACGGTCTTCGGAGTCACCGAGGCCCGCTGCAGCAGCGATCCATGGCTTCGGAGCGCCGCCCGACGAGCAGCAGCAGTAGCTCCCTGCCCGCGCCTCGCAGCTCGCGCCATCTTGCGGCTCCGGGCCGCGGGCGGTGGCGGCGCCCGCTGCTCCTGGCGCGACTGGGCTGCGACAGCACTCAGGTGCCGCCCCCTCCGAAACGGGGGCCGCTCGGCAGGCGGGCCGCCTCGCCGCAGGGCGTGCCGGCCGGCGGGCGCCCCGCAGAGCGCCGACGGCAGGCTCGCGGACGGCCAGCTCGGCGAGCTCGAGGCCGGCGCTGCGGCAGTCGGCCAGCTGGCTGCTGCGCCCGGCGTCCCGGACGGCCCACTGCTTGAAGCCCTCGGCAGAGTCCGCCGCGGCGCCGTCGAGCCAAACCCCGAGGGGGATGTGGCGGCGCGACGGCGCATCGGCGACGTTCCGTTCAGACGGAATCCAACGCACCGAGGCCTGGACCGCGCCCGCCAGGCACCAGGCGGCCCATTGCCGGGCGACGCGGAGGACTCCCCCGGCTGAGGAGCGCCCCTTTTCCATAACACACACGAGCCCCATGTTATCGCAGAGGAAGAGGATACGCTTACCGAAGGACTTCGAGTCGCGAAGTGCGCGCCTAAGAGAACGAACGAGGGCCCGACCTTCGAGGACGATGATCTTCTCGGCCCGGGCCCACCCTCCGCTCGACACCACCTGCCACCTCCCCCCGTGCAGCTCCTCCTCCACCTCCGGGACCTTCCACAAGTTACTCTCTGGGTCCTCCACCGCCACCCCCGTCGACACGACAGGCTCCACCCCCGGCGACACGACGATCTCGGCAATCGGCTCGGACTTCGCGGTGTCGGCGGTCGGCGGGTCGCTCTGCTCGAAGAGGCAGTCGCGAGGTCGCGAAGCAGCTGGTCGTCGAAATCGCCACCTCTCCCCGTACCTCCCAGCACCGCGAATTGCTCCCAGGTCGGCCTCCTTCTGGCACACGCCCCCCCCCTCCTCGCTAGCGTCGCTCGCGTAGATCCTGGGAGACCAGGTGGCCCTAAGATCAGCCCAAGCCAGGGGGATCAGGGAGGCGGCCCAGCGAAGCTCACGGCGGACAGATGGCGGCAGCTTCATCACCCGATCGAAGTACTTCCTCGAGAAGGCATACACATAACTAGATACGGCCAAGAGCGGGCGCCTCGACATTGCAATGAACGCAAAGTGGCCAGCAATCTTCCCCACTTGTCGCCCTGAAGCGTGCCCGCGAGCAAGCAATCCCTGGATCCCAAGACGAAGCCTCCAAGCACGACGACTCTTCGGTCTCACAGCTCCACGCTCCCCGTCGAAGACCCACCCCAGCTGCTCAGACACCGAGGCGGGGAGATCAGGATCGTGCAGAGGGAGCCCCGCGCCGCTCAAGGCCTCTTGGGCCGACCTCAGGAGGGCCGCAGGCCTGCCAGGATTTACTCCAAAGGAAATGAAATTGTCAACATAGGCTGTGTAGGCCCCGTCCTGGATGGGAGGCGTCGGCATACCATCGACCACTTCGGGAACGCTCTCAAACCCCCCCTTCTGGAGCAAGATATTTCTGTGCACTCTCTGACAGAAGTCCAGCGCATGCGTCCAGCCCATAGGCAGGACGGCCAAGCACGGGCGCACCCAAGCACGACCAGGAACTGGACGCCCGCCCAGCTCTCGCACTCCAAGTTGCGCTGCCCGAAGCCGCGGGAGCGCGAAGAGGTGCCGGAGCTCCGGCGGCAGGCCCACGTTGTAAAAAGCGTCCGCTATGTCGACGCCCGCCGTCCACAGCACCTCGCCCGGCGCCAGCTCGATGGAGCTGAAGCTGCCCCCGGACGCCAAGCTGGTCTTGTCGGGCTCCCCGAACCTGAAGTTGCTGCCCCTGCAATCGATCACCAGGCGCTGGCGACCATCCTTCTTCCAAACGGTGAATAGACCGACTTCCTCAAAATCCCCCTCATCAATCCTGAACTCCAGCATGCCACCGTCCCTCATCCTCTCGACGAAGGCCAGGTAGGCCGCGGGCTGCCGCAGCACCGGGTCCAGGTAAGGGCGTGCGAAACCAGCCTCCTTCTTAAAAATCTCGGCGCTTTGAATTGGCAAAACCTTCGAAGTGATGAACCTTCGCACGATATCTGGACCGTCGTCTCCCAGCAACTGGCTCAGGGGCACAGGCGTACCGCCCGCAGCTGGCAGAGACACGAGGTCGTGCGCGAAGGGGGCCACCGTGACGGGCTCGCCGTCGGAGTAGCCGGCGCCAACCTGGAGCTCCTGGAGGGCCACCTCGGTCGACAAATCTGGAGGAATGGAGCCCATCGCCGCACAGCTTTCGGCGAGATGCTCCAAGCAAAGTTGCTGCATCCTGTTGGGCTCCTGGCCTGCGCGGCGCGGCGGGTCATCCGAGCCGGCGTCCAGCTGGTTGAGCGCCACCACTAGCTCAGTCACGAGCTCGCCCTGCAGCGTCCTGTTGGCGCGGCGACGCCGCGCTGCGCGGCCGCCGCCGCCGACGGCGGCAGCCGCCGCGAGACACCAGTCAGGGACTGGCAAGGGCAGGAGCGACCGCTGCATGTGGTCGTCACCTCTGCCCCCCACCTCTTCTGCATCACCCCCGGGCCGAGGCAGTCCCGGGGGCGGTCCCAGCATCATGACTTGGGGGGAGGAGCGTCCCGGCCGCCCTTGTTGGCCTTCTGCTCCTCCCTCAGCTTCCTCGCGTTCTTCTTGATGCTGTGGATCCGCTCCAGCTCCTTCGACACCGAGTCGAGCAGTTCCGGGCACACCATCGAGGGAGACCTCGACCCTCCCATGAATGCGAATGCCTCCTCCAAGGGCATCCGCATGTTGTGCTGCTGCTGCTCTGCGCTCCTGTCGTCCCAGTAGTGCTCGATGAGCTGGAGCTTACGGTAGCCGAGCTCCGCGCTCGCCAAGTTGTAGACGTCCAGGTGGTCGGCGGTGCCCATGGCCTCGATCATTTTCGAGAGCGTCTCGTGCATGTCCACCCCGAAGTCGGTTGGGTTCAGCTTCCGCTTCGACTTCCACATCTCATGATGGAGGACGGGGCCCCCTTCCTTCACCTGGTACTTGGCACACCACTGCGCCGTCCTCGGAGGGGCCACAGCAAACCCCGGCACGGGCTCCTCGCGACACAGCAGCACCACCTCGCGCCACTCCCGAGCGTTGCCGCCTGGCTGCCCAGCTCCCGGCGGGATCTCGAGTGTGCGAGCGTCGCTCCCGCGGTACTCCTGAGTGAACCACGGGATCTCGCTGTCTCTCAGCAGCACCGCGCTGGCCCCGCCGCCGCCGGCCAACGTGAGAAGCCCGCGCCGACCCGCACGGCCCACGAGGGTCGCTCCGCCCGGCACTCCGACGGCCACCTTCGTGCCGAACGCCACGGCGCCGTCGACGTCCTCGGCAGCCACCCAGTGCCAGCCTGGCGCGGGCTCCCCGCTCGGCAGCGGCGCGGCCGCCGCTGTGTCTGGCACCGCGGGCGCCCGACCCGCTGGAGCAGCGGCCGCCCCGGGGGCGGGGGCCACGGCGGCTGGGGCCGCGGCTGCCGGCGCCGGCGCGGCCGCGGCCGCCAGCGGGGCTGGCGGGGCCGCCCCAGGAAGCGCCAGCGCGCCTGGGTCCGCTGCCGCGGGGTGGGCCCCGGCCACGTCGACCAGGGGGGGGACCACGATCGTCGGGTCCGCCAGCGGCATGCTGCCCGCCGGCGCGCCGGCACAGTTGACCGCGGACAGCGTGAGGAGGAAGGGCCCGTCAGGCAACGGCCCGTGCCCCAGCGCTGCGCCGCGGCGGAGGGCGCCCCAGACCTCGGCCGCCGTGGGGAGGCGCCGAAACCTGTAGACTCGGTTCTCCTGGACGCCCCCCGCCCTGCCGCCCTGCCCGTGTACGAAGTGGATCTCCATCACGTCCGCGTCGGGGCTCGTGGTCTCCCCGTAGTCGTCGAAATCCGGGGTCATCACGTACCCTGAGCGGAAAATGTCCAGTCGCTCATGGTACAGGGCGGGGCCTCCCACTCGATACCTGGTCAGGTGGAAACCTCCCGCCAGCGGCCCAGCCGCCATCTTCAACAAGCGGCGGCAACCGGCGTCCTGCGGAAGGCCTTCGCCTGCTCCAGCGCGAGGTGCACGAGGTCGTCGCCCGCAGGCGCGCTGTCCGCCTCCACGGACGCCGCGGCGGGCGCTGCAAGCGCCCTCGGGCGAGGCCGCCAGGCCCACGAGACGGCCGCGGCCCCGAGCACGGCGCCCAGGAGGAGCGAGAGGCCAGCCACCCAGGCCAGCTGCGACCCGGGGCACCCCTGGCGGCGGCCGCCAGTGCCCTCGCCGCTGGGGCACGTGCACTGCAGCGCTGGGCAGTGCAGGGCCGGACTGCACCAGCAGTCCGGGCAGTCGGCCACCGAGGCCCGGACGACGAAGGCGGTGGTCAGCGCCTGCCCCACGTCGTGGAGCAGCCTCACCAGCCCGGCCTCCATCCCCCGGCAAGGTCTCAGCGCAACAAAGAGACCTCAAATGGCCATGGAATGGCAAAGGAATGCCGCACAGATCCATGGCCCTGACATGCGGCCTCTCCTGCTGTGACGTCCGGCAATCTACAACGAAGTAATGGGCAGGAAGAGAAGGAGGGAGGCGGGGAGCGGAGCCAAGCGCCACCACTCCAGAGCTCAACGGGGGCAGCTCCCGCAACGCTAGAGCCCCATTCGCCCTGCGGCGCGGGCAGCTCGCTCCGCTGACCGAAGGTCAAAGGCAGCTTTCGCAGCCCAGGTCCTCCCCGTCGCCGAGCTAACAGCTCTCGCCGCCCGACAGTGCCCGCGCGCGCAGGCGGGGCGGCGCAGCTCTCACCAAGCAAACCGCCAATCAGAAAATGCCGCGGCTGCACGCACGAGCAACGGGCGGGGGCAGCCCCCGCCGCCCGACCGCGCCCGAACCCGCGGGCAAAGCACGGTTCGGAGCCACGTCGCCGCTTAGTCGCCAAATACAAGAAGGCTTATCCATGGCCACTGGTCGCCGCCCGCGCGCGGCGGCGCCCAGATGCCGAACACTTCCGACGGCGAGAAGACTGCGATGAGGCCGCCGAGGATTCGGAAAGACCTGTGCCCGAGCACAAGGAGCACCTGGGAACTCACAGGCGTTCTGTCGGACAGTTAAAACACAGCAGCTGCGAACTTGAAAACGGATGGCCACTCGCGCAGGCAGCCACGTTCGCACGGCGCGCGCCCGCGGTGTGGGCGAGTCGCGCGCTGCGTCTCGCAGGAGGAGCGATCCCACCAATGCCCGGAGGAAGCCACTGCCGCCGGCGCGTGGACCACGCGCGGCCCACTGGGCGCCGCAGGCTCGGAACGGCAACTCTTCTCCCCACGGCGCGAACGCGCTCCCGCTCTGGACCAGGCAACGAGAACGCGGCAAGAGCTAGCTGGGCACCCTGCCCATGTTGGCCATAAGCTGCACGGCGACAGTAAAAACCATCGTCTCGAACAGCGAGTCGATGAACGCGGCGCAGAGGGGCATCGCGAAGAAGCTGCAGCCCTCGGGCCCCATCCACGCATTATCGGAGGAGCTCCAACTTCAAGTGTAGCAAGCCCCGCTGATGTGGAGATCGGGCGCGATGGCCTCGCCCATCCGGAAGTGGCACTGCTTTAGCTTATCCTGGCTATCTTTACATCGGCGCGAAGGGATCCAGGCAGTCTTCCAGCAACAATCTGAACTGGCGGTTGGGACCTAGGCACAACCACCGTGCCCCAGCCGCGAACGTCGAGGAAGCGCTCGCACAATCCCTCGCGCGAGTGGTCCAGCACGGCCCCCCGGCTCGCCGGTCGAACATGGGGCAGACGACGACGTGCCATCGGCAGGGCCCCGGGGGCCATCGCACGGACCGGCGCGCATGGCGGCGGTTTGCGCCCGAGCGCCCCCCCCCATCTTGACACGCGGGCCCCCGCTTGGGATTATAATTCGAGCACCGTGGAGATGGGGGGGGCGCCGGGGGAGGGGGGCCCGCGACGGCCCAGGCCGCTCGCGCAAATGCCCCGCGTGATTTCGCCCCCCCTAGACTCCGCCCTTCTCGGCTTTCTCAAAGAGCCCGCTCCCCGATCGAATCGAGCCCCGCCGCCCCCCCCCCCCCCCCGCCGCCTAGCCCGGACTCCCGCGCGCAGTGCCCCGCCGGGTTTGCTTCCCATAGACTCCGCCCGTCTCGCCTTTCCCAATGACGACCGCTGGCGAACCCACGCCCACTGCTCCACTGCACGAATGTCGCGGGCAGCTCTCGCCACCCAACTGCCGCGGCTCCCGCCGCGCAACTCGCCGCTAGAGCATCGCTTCGCCGGCGGCGGTAGCAGCTCGAACCGACCGACCGGACCGCCAACCGCACCGCCGCCCAGGCGACCGTTGAGTCTGCGAGGGCGAGATGGACTGGGACAGCCCCCTGCCAAGGGGCGACCCGGCTGAGACTATGGCCGCAATGGGCGACTCGGGCTGCGCGATGGGCGACGCGGCCAGGCGCGCGGAAACGGCGGACTGTAACGGACGCCCTTGTGGATCCCACGCCCCCCCCCCTTGGGCGGGGGGGGGGTCTGGAAAGCGGTGCGCCCGCGTAACATTGCACCGGCGTCGCTGACGTCCTGCTGCCGCTGCAGCGCGGCGGCCTTCGTCAACGGCGCCTGGCGGCCCGTGGTCGCGCGCGCGCGGCGTGGAAAGCCGACGAAGTCCACGCGGTTCACTTCCAAGTGCGAGTTGACGCGCGCATGGTGGAACTGGCGCGCACAGCCAAGACGGATGAGCTCGGCCCCATCCTCGAGTTCCCGCCGGCAGATCTCGCAAACAATCTTGCGCCAGGTCGGGCATCTCGATCTGCAACTTTCGCCGCGGATTCGGAGACGCTCTGCAGCTTTCGCCGCGGGCCTGCAGCTTTCGCCGCAGCTAGAGCTATAGCGCAGCTTACGCCGCGCCGGAAACCTGGCGCGGCTACGGGAGGAAGAGATGGAGGGCAAAGGACATGCAAACTTCCCCAACACGATGGAGGAAGGGGAGGGGGAGCTGAATGGGGGGGCCACGTACCCTAGCTAGGTTCACCGCAAATTCCTCGCCAGATTTCGCTCCCCATACGTCGGGCGGGCGTCGGGGCGGGCGCCGGGGCGACGGCGACGACGAATGGATTTGGATTGCGCTCTGATTCGCCGAGGAGACGGTCGGCTTAGCGCGGCGCTCACTATCTGCTGGCAGAAACACGCGGCATCTAGCAGCACGGGCGCCAAGGTGTAAATGGCCCACCCGACCGTGCCCATGCCTAACCCATACCACCCCCATATCGTCGGAACGCGCTCACGGCGCATCGCGACACAACTGGAGTAGGGAAAAAAGGCAAGAGGAGGCTGATCAGAGCGGGGAGCAGGTGAGATGGCCTGCGAAGGGCCGAGAAGGCAGCTGAGTGGGGTGGTGCGTGGCAGGGGCCAGCGGGAGTGCACGATTTTCACGCGCTCGACCTGTGGCCCATGGCCTGCGCCAACGCCGCAGCGCGAACCTCGCCCCCTCCAACATGCGCAATTTCCACCCTCAGCCCCGACCACGCCAGGAGGGGAAGTGGGGAAGACGAGACTGCCCGGCATCTCCAGCGCTAGCCCCTGCTAGAGACCAAACGAAGAGAGAAGCATCAACATCGCAATCGAGGCCAAAGAAGGCAGCAACAGCATCGGTCCTGAGTCGCCGTGCCGTAGAGCCCCCCAGGTTGCGCGCCACCAGAGAGCGAGCAAGCACCGAGAGAGGTGGCTGAGAGAGGCGGCACAGAAGACGACAGCAACTTGCCACTGCGCACCTCCACCCCCCACACATAACTGAACTACAACCCCCAACTTCTCATGATAATTAACAGGCAGCAACTTATCCGAACAAGCCTCTGCCAAAATGACAATGGGTCCAAGGGGCTACTTCGCGCAAGCGAGCCTGTCTCGCTTCCTGGAGTGCAGCAGCTCTTCTGACGCGTGCCCGCGCGCGGTTTCTCGCGATGCGCCCCGGGACTTCAGGTGCTAGCGGCGCAGGGGCGGCGGGGGGGGGATATGTTGCCCTCTGCGAGTCACCAAGAAAAGAACGCATACTCCTGGCCCCCCTCAGCCCCCGGAGGGCCTGCAGGTCTAGCCTCCGCCACGTCGTCGCGAACCTGCGAGGCGGAAGCGGCGACTTCCTCCGACGTCGGGGGGGGGGGGGGGGGGGGGGGGGGGGGGGGCGCGCAGAGGTCGAAAGCGATCGAACTCGGGGTCGCGTCGGACGCGGCGCGCGCGCCGAGAGACAAAGTCAGGTGCCCATCCTTCGTCTGCGCCACAATAGGGGCACCAGGGGACAAGGGAGCGCAATAGTCCATCACGTGCTCTACCCCCCCCCTGTCATCCGGAACAGCGGGCTCAATGCTGTCAACCCCCCCTTCCCACATGGCGCGCGCTGCATCGATGGCAGTTGGCGGTGGCAGCAGCGATGCGCTTGCACAGGCCGGCGGGGTGCGTCTTTTTTCGGGGGGCTGTGCGCCGCTCCCTTCCCATCATGCCCAAGAAGCGTTTCGTGTCCGCCCCTGCCGTGCGAACATCTGCCGTTCCCAAGGGTCGCAAACAGGGAGGCGCGCAGCCCTGGCGGTCTAAGTGCAGCGATCTTAGTGGGGCCCTTGACGTCTGACCATGTCCACACTGATCAACATCGGTCGTCGAGACTGCTGGGGGCGACTGGAGAGCACGCATCGGATGGTAGGTAAACGAGCCGACGGCTTGGAGCCTCCATCCACGCGGCCGGGGGTGCCCGAGCCAACGTGGCGTGCCAGCCTGCGCGCGCAGCGAGAAGCTCCAGCATAGCACGGTATAGCGCATTGCCCACCCACAGATGTTCTGACGCTCAGCAACTGCTGTATTCCCCCAAAGTTGGTCACGCGTCCGAAGTGGCGGGGGGCATTGGCCTTCTGCCCATCGAGAGGCAGACCAGGTCTCGCGCGGCGGCCCGCCACCCGACACCGCCGCCCGTGGCGCAAGGATGTGGAACCTTTCTTATGCGAGTGCGTCCCGGTTCACAAGGCCCCCGCCCACTGCAAGCATGGCTTTTTCCGCAGACAGGACATGTATAGCATAGTCTGTGCTGCAATGCGCCCATTCAGCCTGCGCCTGCACATCCCCCGCCCTCCTCCGTCCACAAACCAAATTTAAGACAAAGTATTCAACTCGCCTGACGGCTCTCGGCATCGGCTCGGCTGCAATGCCAGTGCGCCGTTCTGTCAGGAATAATCGACTGGGGTATCTCTCAGCGGCGCGCTGAACAGCGTTGGCCGGTGGCGGCGGCGCAACAGCGGCATTCCCAGGCGTAGGCGCTTGTAGGCAAGCAGCAAGCCTAGCTGGGAGAGCGGGGCCAGCGGCCGCAATCTCCACGCGTGCAGTGCCATGGTCCATCGTAGTGATCACTGCATGCGCATGCTCTGTGATGGGGCCAGCTGCGCGAACTGTCGGCACAACAACGCGACGGCGAGACAACGGCACACCTGGGACC